CCGTCGGAATTGTTTGTCGAAGGTTTACCATCGATGTCGAATCGCGACTACGCGTCATCCCTTTATCGAAAAATCCTATTCGCGCGATAAAGAAAAATAGTGAAAAGAAACGAGACTGCAGAATAACCGAGTACTCGAACAGAAAAAACATAGAAACTATCACGATCAGTAATTGAAACTTTCTTCTTATCCTTTATTCTGTTATTCCTACAACGGTATAAAATATATTATACTGTTGTGGATACACTTTTTATCATTTACGACAAAAGAATCCCGATAAAAACAGATTAGCGTCGTATCACGTTTACATAATATAAATTCCAAGACGTTCGACTGTAACCGAATTTAGTTGTACGTTTTCGAGGCGAGGTTCGAGGGTAGATCAAAGGTCGACGGATTAACGAGAATTACCCGATCAGCTCATAATGCTCGAAATCAACGACGGCCGGCAGGGTATCTTTTTATTAATATTGTTCATCCGGGCGTCCGGTTTCACGATCTCATCGTTACGCCAGGGCACGATTCCTGTGCGGAAGGACCCACGTACGCCGAAAGATTACGGCCCGATCGATCCTGGCTTCGACGCGTGCGGCAGCGTCGAGTCGTTATCGGGGCATTCCTAAGTTTCACGAATCGCATCCCCTTCTTGTCAGATTTAACGATCTTAAGATTGCCGGACGTGTATCACGAGAGGTAACTCGCGTTTTAAAGTTCCCGTCCGTGGATATCGGTTCGACCTACATGCGCTGATGCAGCGGGAAAAAGAGGGAAGCTTTATTTAAGAAGGGAAGTTTTATTTTAAATATAAAGTAGATCGTGGAAGAAACGAGACTGATCGTCCAGGAAATTTACGGGGGACCGTATATTCAGGTACCGCGGAGGAACATTCGGGGATAAATAGTAAATCGATCGCCGAGCCGTTGGATTTCGCTACCGCTTTACTTTTCGTTTGATATCCAATTTTTTTAGGGGTTGGACCGATACACAGAGGGGTGTTCGATTTTTTCTTTCATATCCCCGTGAACCAGACATGATATTAAGAAATTTAAGTTTTTCGAGATTCATATCCCGATCCTCGACCACGTGTCAGATCACATTTTTCACGAAGCTTGGTGTTTCGCAGGAAATAATCGTTAAACCTCGTGTCCGCCGGCAATGAGGCAGGATTTTGAGGAAAATTGAGAGCGGTTGATGCAAAGCTTTTTGTACGTATTTGTTGCTTTGTAGTTAAAAGGATTGATTCGTAAGCGAGCTGAAGAACACACGATCCTTTGCGACGGAAATAACCGTTTTTTTTTCATCTTACTGGAACGTCTTGTAGGAACGTTTCATTAGATCCCGCGGCGAGGCTGCGTTTCGAACCAATTTGATTACAGCTTCGCCGAGGTTTATTGTTCCCGTGGAAGAACCACTCGGAGAAGAGAGGCTCTGACAGCGGAATATTTTTAAACGTCGCCGATACTCAACATCTCTGTTGAAATGTTCGCGAAACCTGTTACATTGGATCGCATCGAAAAGATTGGTAGCGTTTCGAGCATAGTGTCTTCGTTGCCTTTTTACTGGGCAACGGAAGAATCGTTCGATCGGGTGAACAGGTACTAAATTTCAAGTGTGAATTGAATATACTTGTACCATTTACACGCTGTTTTGTACAAGTTGCAAGAAAACTTACACTACTTCTACTGAAAAATTTTATAGCATTTAGAGTTTTAGAAAAAATTTTGAAAAATCCATCTACAAGCCAGTGGAAAAGTTTCTTTTAGCCAAAAGAATCAATGTTGTAGATGAAGCTAATTGAAAGATGAAAAGAAATTGTAAAAAATAAAACAGTAAAGCAGGATACTTTATGGATTGAAAAATATAGATTGCAATTCTACCCTTTTAAAAACGTTACGAACTTTCTTTAGTACTGGTGCCGATTCATTCTTGCGCATTGCTTTGATAAATGATCATAGATCGATTGTCAGGAAAAATGAACGAATTGTTGGTAATGATTGTTATCGAACAGATCAACGCGTGTCGTAAAATGGTACGGAAAATCGTGACGAACGCGGCGAAAGATTGAAGAAGAAGGATCCACGGAAGGACAGAAATAAAGGTGGCTGGTGGGGTAGAACCTCGTGGATTGGCTGCGCGAGATAGATGGCTGCAGCCGAGGGGATGCGTCGGAGGGTGCGTTCTCAGGTATATATACTTCCGCCAGTGGCACGAGCGGCCGATCCGAACTACCGAACCATTCGTGAGGATAGAGAAAGCTATTTTCCCCATCGACACGGACCGATCCTTTTTCCATCACGAGCGAGTAGTCCCAAATCGACAGCCCGATCGACCGGTGAGTAGGTGTTTCCGAATTCCAATCTTTCTTCTGTTAAGACCGTGTTGTATGCGTGTCGGCGACAATCTTGAACAGAAAATTGTGCAACGTTTGTGAATCTTTAGTGTGATTTGTGTAACTATTATAAGCTGGATCGGCTTTAGATCAGCGCGAGTGTCGTCGAATTGTAGTTTCATTGATTCTGTGATTAATCAGAGTTACGATGTATCATAAATGTACATTCGTTGCGAGATTGTCTTCTTTGTACGCTCTTCAGGGAACTGTGTTTGTGTGTGTGTATACATATGTATCCTTCGAGAAGCTTTTGGAATACGATGAAATCGAAGTTCTTCGGTCTTTCTTTTGACACACTGATCCGGTTAATTCTGACGGTGTTTTCCTTCACTTACGATCTTCAATACGTTCACTGTCAATCCAATATCTGTAGCGTGCAAAGCAAATCTGTCAATTGGAGACGCTGTTATCTCTAAATCTGAAAGGGAAATGAGAGAATTCTGTTGTTCCTTATTTTATACGTTTCTTCATTAATCGCGTCGTATTAATTTCAACACGACATATTTCATAAATTGATATAACTGATAGAGAAATTTATTCTGTTTTCGATATCCGACCTTAAAGATTAATTTCTGAGATGGCAGTCTAATCGATGTTAAAAGTTGTATCAATTGTGAGGCGTTGATGTATCCGTCCACGCGTTAAAAGTGACACTCAACATTCTACACAAAATAAAATCAAAGACTGTGTTCTGTGATCGGTTCGATAGCTCCCTATTTTTCTGATCGGTTAACGTGTACGTCAAGGCAGGCATCCACTCTTGAACCTGTCGCCAAAACTTTTACATATTCAGCGAGAATCGTCTGGTCGGTACTCGGACATTTTTTAATCTATACGATGCAAATGGTTTTTCATCTACTAGCTAGACAGTCCATTGTCCTCGCCCCAATGAAAGGCTCCTTTATCAAGCTACACACATTTCGAAGATATAGAATGAAGTGAAATCGTTGTATCTTACTATCGACAAGCAGATTACGCGACACAATAATCTGAACATTCATTGGAATCTTAACGTAATTCATTATTTTTTGTCCGATCAAAAAAGAGAATACGACCTATATCGTACTTGTATTCCTGTTAACTCATTGTAGACATTTGTTTTCTTACACAATTGCCGTACATTGACAAACAGAATCTCACGGTTCACAGTCTATAACGATGAACTCGTTAATTCGTCCCATTGAATCGAATGACAGGGATCTATCGTGGTCCAGCTTCGAAAACGTCCAATGCTTATCTTTATGAACATCACAACGCGAAAATAGTTGCATAACGCTAGCATTTATACGAAAAGAGCAATGCCTCTCCAGGGAGAACTGGACTCGAGTCCATGCAACGCGCGTGGTGTCCTGCGGGAATATTTGTTCTCTTATTCAAGCAGCTTCGTTCCCGGATTATCGAGCTCGCGGGAGCGTACTCTTTTATGCTGCAGTTTTCACCTAACGATGTACATATTCTTTTAGTCCACGAACCGCTATAAAACGGGCAGGAGACACGGTCGATTCGTTATATTTCTCGGCTTCATGAACACCGGCCGTGGAACGAGGCGCGTAAGCCGTCTCTACGAGCCAGAGTGATATCCACCTATCAAACGAACTCATAAAAACTGCTGAATTGAAACGTGCCTTTATGAAATTCGGTCGCCTGCGTGTCAAACATGTGCCATCTCGGCTGATCGGTTGCGATTACGGTTTCGAGAACTGTGAAACTAATTTCTCGGGGGTCGTTTCGTATCTCTCTTTATTAAAATTCCAAGGGGGAGGGGTGGACGTTAAATGGTAAAGCATCACAGTTTCGTCGATCGACACCGTTCCCGATATTCCATTTCGAGCCATCCAGTATTCCCCTGTGGGGAACTTTTATTATCGGGAAAGTTGTGGCGAACGGGCACGATGCAACAGGTAACTCAACTTACAGTTCGGTTCCCTGGTCCGATTCAGACTCGTTGAAACTCCTTATCGCCGGGCTATTCTCGATCCACGTGAAAAGATATAGGTACCTACAACGCGTCTCGACGTGGCCCGTGCCGATCGTGTGGACGTTACAATATCAATGACGAACGAATTTATAAATGTGATAATACACACTGGTGTTCTACATTTACCCTAATCGGCCGAATTGGTTTCATTGTTCTCGACGTTTCATAATCACGCCTCGTGCCGAGATAATCTGTATTCTGTATGACATTGAACTAAGAATACTAAGACTAGAACTACCAGCATTGAATTTATACTAAATTAAATTGTATAATACAATAATATACAGAATATTTAAGACAATCTAGCACACTATACCATGAAATAAAATCTGCAGCAAATTAAAGACCAACATAAATTCCGTCCAAAGCATCATTATAATTTCAGTACTGGTAAAATAGTAAATTTGTAATCAATCATTTTGATGGGTTTGGTGGTTCTAGTGTTAAAGTCTCGTGCCTAACTAGAAGACAATTTTTTTTCTTAGTTACTTCTGAATGCGAATGAACCTTTATTCTGAACGATGGCAAATGAATATACCTATAGATGAACCAGCGTGGTAAAATAGGGGGGAGGGGGCGTACGAACATACATACGTGTTTCTTTTACAGCAAAGAGACTGTATATTTCGATGCCGAGAATGCAATCGTATCCAAATTTCATCTACGTGGTCGTCATCCTCGTCATCCTTGGAACTGTGATCGTTCACGGTGACCCGGAACCAATGGCAAGACCAACCCGGCTAGAGATGTTCTCGATCCCGGAAGAGCTTCGAAGATACCTCGATTCGCATTACAATTCGCACAGCGGGAAAGCCAGGTAACGTTTGCGCCTGATATTCGGTTCGATGAGAAGAGATGAATGTTTCGCGGTTAGATCGATGGAAATGTGTTGGAGTTGTCCATGTAACTATTACAGGATCGTAAGGTGAAAGGGGGTAATGACGGTCACTTAAATGACAATTGTAATAAAGTCTAAATATGAGATCAAGTATTTATTGCATGTTACTGTTTACAAACTGCAACCATTAACCTATCAACCGAACAAGAAAATAATTACTTTGGGATTAAATTTTTTGGGCTAAACTAGCAATTAAATAAAAATTACACTTATGGGTAACAGTGATCACGTTGCGGACAATCGGATTCTAGAGCCTCAAACATCTATCACATATATAGCCCTTGGGTAATTGTAAGTCCTATCCAGTGCACCCTGAATGAGCCTATAGACCACATGTAATTAGTCAATTCATTCATTATGTTAAATTTAACATCGATGACACATCAAAACAGAGAACGCTGGTTATTCTCGAATGTATAGCAACGACTTAGCCAGGTTATTTAGATGCGCAACGAGGAGATTGTTGTGGTACGTAAGCAACAATGATTGCACGCCTTGCGCGTTTCGTTTTGCAATAATAATACCGATTGGGATTGCACGGTGACTGTCATTACCCCATTCTCCCTTATGTGACTTGTGTATAACGTGTGTACGATGAAATAATGACCAGGTACGGGAAAAGGGGTGATCTTCCATCCACGATGCCGGCCTCCAGTCGTGTCTGGGACACGGTGAAAACGATTCTGGATGGTTCCGATGAATCGCAACAACCGAGGTCCGAGAAACGGAAGCTAGGAAAAAATGGGTATGCTCGGGAGCTCGAGAGCTCCGGTGGCAGCAAGTCAAGGATCAACGCTCGGCCGTGTCACATGCTGGACATTGTTGAAAAATATTACGACGGTGTGCAATAAAGAAAAACGGTATCGCGCGTTCTCCTCCGCTCGCAGGTGCATGCACGTATTCCGGTCACACCGAAAACGCGAACCACACTATTCCATGGAAATTGTTTATTACAATGAACGATGATAATCCCTTTTTCCTTCCCACGGAACAGACTCCTTTGCAAATCCAATCGATCCCTCTCGCTGTCCAGCTGACAAATGAAAACGATACGGATAATCAGGTAATCGAACCGGAGGGTACATACGCGAACCAGAACGATCAATCGACTCTTCGTAGCCCCGTTAGAGATCGACGTGACTTAACCTGTGAGTGATGTTACAAATTCGAAATAAATAATATGTCCGGCAGATTGCGTTTTAAGTACTTTATTGTCGTCTTACAGTATTATCTTTGTCATGTTCTACATTTAAATGGAATTATTATCGCCGCATAATGACTCTTGCAACTATACGCACGTGAGAAGGGAGACGGTAACGTAACAATAGCTACATAAATTAAGGAGAGATGTGATAGCGCAAACTGTACTTATTCGGTCGTAAATGGACATTCCTCAATGCCGACAGGCGTACAATCCTTTACATTTTCCTTATAGTCGCATGCTCTGATTATGCGATTGAAAACTAAATTCACTTTACAGCAATGTAATTGCTGCACCCCATTATCACACTCGTAATACAGCCTGCATAGGTTTTCATGGGGTATGTTCGTCCTACCAGTTGATGGACAGTCGTATGATCCTGGAGATGTCGGTGGAGATGTCGTGGTGGATGTCGTGGTGGATGTCGTGGTGGATGTCGTGGTGGATGTCGGTGGGGATGTCGTGGTGGATGTCGTGGTGGATGTCGTGGTGGATGTCGATGGGGATGTCGTTGAGGATGTCGGCGTTATGGGTGATGTAAGATCTGGGTTGCAGCAGGTAACGTTTTGCGGCCAATCGCAGACTTGCAACTCCGGGTTGTAACACAATTTTAGTGTTCCACCATTGTACGATGGACAGGGAATCTCGTATTTTTCCCCGCTAAGACACTTGTAAAATTTATGACAATCTGACTCGTGGGGAATATGTGTCGCATTTTCCCCGTCGAAGCGTGGGCATTCTGTCACAATGGCCGCTCCAACGGAAACAGCCATCACCGCAGCAGCCACGACCAATAAATATAATCCTAAAATTAATAAAACACACGATTACTATTTATCGCTTGAAATGAAATCGATCTTTTGAATGATTTCGATATGTCTAATTGTAATGTAGTGTGGAAACTGTACCGTGGCATCTGAACTTTCTATAGAACGCGATCTAATCATGACAATCGCAAACATCACTGTTTCCCGGTTATTAAGTAAAATTCTGTTTAGATACTTCGCAAGGTCGCCAAACGTGAAAAGTGAATCGATTGAACAATACAGAAACGCACTGGTGCTTCTCGGCGATCGAGTCACTTGTGAAATAACTATTTAAAGTGAATAAACTATTCTTTAATATTCCGTTTATCGTTGTGTTCGCGAGTAATAGTGTTGACCGTTCGAGTACTCACGTTTCATATCGAACAGCCGATAATCAATGAATCCAGGGAACGACGGGTGTCAAGTTACTAATTTGATGAATAACTGCCAGCCATCGGTATTCATAACTACTTTTATATTGGATACAGAAGCTTATCGCATGCTATCGGTGGGGAGTATCATACTCGATCATTCCCTTTTGCCTTCGTATGATTCATAAAACTCTATCGATCTAGCTTCTTTACTAAATCCTCCTAATAGAGAACACCATCGAGCAAGGGGAGTCCAATGTCGAAATTTCGGTCCGAGTTGTTTTTTTGTACGGTTCTTCGCTCTCAAGAAATAACCTACGGGCGTTCATCGACACACAGCTGGGAATAACTTTTGGAAACGATACTTGATAACACTTCTAAAATCGAATATATCGAACATACTTACACTGGTTCCAGCTTATCACCAACGGAATTCGAGTCGCGGAAGCAACGCAGACCGTGATGAAAAAGATTTCCTTTATTCCCGATTCGAAACGTAGTTCTGAATAGTCGCGATACAATCAATTACCAAGCACGAAAGTACATTTATATGTATCGCGAGATAATAATCAATGATTTTGATATGATTCCAAAAAATGTTCGTTTTGGAAATGCTGCGAACGATCTGCACGTTCGATTGGATATATCTTAAAAGGGGATAAGGGCAGTATGTCCAAGAAACTTTTGTCCATACATTGCAGCGAGAGATGATTCGTTTCGCAAGATAGCAGATCATTCGCGGGCGAATGCGTGAAGAGAATCGATAAATTGTTTAAAAGACGCGGCAGCAACGGGCGTCAAGTCCGCGGGAATATTCGTCCTCGTCGTCGAGCTACTCCATCGTTGCATTATTGAGTTAGAGAGTGGCGATTTCACGACGTAGTTTTTGTTTAACGACGCGCGCCCTTTTTGTTGTAGGTCCGTCATAAAACGACAGGACGGACGATTGGGTTCCATGAAAACCGACGTCAGTGATAGGACCGTTGCATCGTAATGTTCGACAGAGTTATTTATTAATTCGCTGGGTTCGTTCGTACAGCAGCTCGAGGAAAGACGAGTCTCTGAGCAGATTAACCCATAGCTGTTCCGTTTCGTAACTATTACATACTGAATTACATAATGAATCAAATATTCTACTGTTTCCTGTATTTTATATGCGAGCATTTATTTTGTAAGCTTGCTTAAATTATTACTGATATCGGGCAGCCTTATTATAACCTCGTTTCTATGACTTTCGATTTTATTTAGGTATATTTCAATAGATGATATTTTAAGCGAGAAATGAATCATTTCACGTGACAAGGGAATTCGATCGCGAGACCTTCTTCTTTGAAAGATATGTAATAACGTGGGCCGGATGGTTCGAACCGCGAGCGAGGACTTTGATCGACTAATCTATTAGAAGCGACTCGCCCGAATCACCTGGTGACTGTCTGTACAGATATCGTGTCTTTTATCGGATCACTAGGAATCACGATAGAACTCCAAATCTCTGTTCATGATCGAGTAACATTTTATCAGGACGTGATTAATTTTGCATGCAAATGCTGTAACAATAAAATCGTGGAACGATGCCCGTTTTCATATTCTCCTGTTTTGTGACTCGGTGACCAACACTTACATACATGGAAATGATTCGTTGTATCGAACGTATGATAATTTAGAAAATGAACTTTCTTTCGCGATACTGGTAAGGGAAGCGCTATCCGATTTGAATCTATCGTATTATTGAACTTTATTCCGTGCGTATAGATCGTGTAATGAAAATTTATCGATCACGTTATCTGATCTCACAAGTCCACGGCATTATTATTTTTTGATAACTATTCTTGGTTTTTGGTCATTTAAAAATTATCAAAGAGATATTATCTTGAAGAAAGGGGTACGGACGAGAGCCAAAATGTGTGTCTAGTTTGTATTCCGGGAAAACTACACAGGACGCGTACTAAATATTCTCGTTCGGGCATCGCTACGATTCATCCTGCGACTGAATTTCGATATTCAATTACGAGACATCGCTCGTGTCCCCTGCGGAAAACTCTTATTATCGGCGAAGTTTGCAGCGCGCATTACTGAACGTACGTTTCAGTTCCTGCAGACATTGGCCCTATTGAATCGCGTTACCCACGAGTTTCACCTGTGCATCACATTCGATCGGAATTATGTGGATCTTATTAAGTAAATTAACGACAGAAGTCGAAATACTCCCTCGAGACGAGTGGTTTGTACGACAAGCACAGTTTATCGTATTGCTGTATCCCCCTGATCCTGAAATCATGCGTAGCTTGTTCGAGTTTTAATACTACACAATTGTAATAATAAGGTAAAGGTCGTGTGAAATATTTTATTAACAATTTATTTAGGTGAAAATATACAATTAGTGAAGTTATAAATGGTGAGGATGTAAGAGGACATTCACTGTAATTCTGCTAGTACTTTATAGCCCATTCATACACATTCGGGCCATGTCCGAAATCTAATCGCCGCGTTTACAGTCTCGTTAGCACTTCCGTTAGACGAGCATAGGAATTGATCAAAGAGTCTGAAGGGCACACCACTCTGTCCTTCCAATCGCAGGTCTTTCTGACGCGATCAAACCATTGTCCCACAGGACACGATTGTCGTACCTGTTCTCCATTCTTGCAGATATAGTACAGGTCACATTGACAGTCGTGAGGACTTTTCTCCCCTTCATTACATCGATGATCTGGAGTACAACCTGCGTTCTCTGGCCAGTCACACATTTGGGTGACTCTATTGAAATGAAGTCCTTCGGAGCATCTCTCCAATGTTTTTCTGCCGTTTTTACACTCGTAGTACTGACCACAATTCGAGGGATCAGGATAACGTATTTTTCCGAGACAGTTGTCATTGGGGCATTCCCGCTGTCCACAGGTAGTATTCTCAGGTAAATCGCACTCGTTCCTTATTTCGTCCCAATAAGTGCCACTGGGACACAGCGTAACTACCTTTTCACCATTTTTGCAAAAATAGTACATTGAACAGTCGGATTCATGAGGCGCGCTCCAGCCTGGATAACATTGAGGGCTAGGAATAGTTGACGTTGTAGGAGTTGGCGTTGTAGGAGTTGGCGTTGTAGGAGTTGGCGTTGTAGGAGTTGGCGTTGTAATAATAGGAATAGGCCTCTTGCAGAGGCCCTTTCCTACAACTTTTGCATCCTCGTCGCAAACACCTTGTTCGTAATCAAAGTATTCACCGTCTGGACAATATTCACGTTTTGCTACCCCATCGATACAAACATAATAGATTCCACATTGGCATTCGTGAGGTCTACGAATGTTAACGCCCTCTGTTGGACATTCATGAATAGAATTATCATATACGTCATACAATGAAATTCTGTTTCTTAAACAAGTTTCGTCAGCCGAAACACATTCCATGGTGTTATTATTGTACATCGTTCCATTGATACAGGACTTGCGTATTAGCGTTCCGTTTACGCATTCGTAATACATTCTGCAGTCACACTCGTGAGGAAGACGTACAACCTTGTTGGATCCTGCCTCCGCGCATCGCGGGTCAATTCTATCGGCACTTAAGCCGGTTGCTAGTGTCGCTCCGACAATAGCCACAAAAAATAACACTGAAATTAAACACATTAGATTAACATCGTGGATCGTCGTACCGTACCTACGTTATACATTGCTTTCGAATTAGTTTGTCAAAGTTCAATTAAGCGAACTATTTACCGAGTACCGATATTCGGATGATTATGTGCATGCACGGGAATGACCGAGGAAGTGGTAGATCGTAATTAGACTTTCGATTTTGAACATTTATTTAGCCGATACGTACGTCGACTATAATTGAAAAATTTCATCGATACTTTGCGGAAACAAAGCTAAACCAACACACCGATTAATTACTTCGAATATTGAGAACGTAACGACCACAAGATTTGTTCTTGAATGACACTTCATTTGATTTCTTCATCTTCAACTGAGACAGAATAAATATAACTACTTGAAATTCTTACCTTTCATGTTGAGAAAAATATTCTGCAAATTTAGGAAGTAACACACGATTATAGAGTATTTGATATACACTGTGAATCTTGATGCTCGTATGCTGAGTTTTATATACGAAACCCTTATCATAAAATAGCAAAGTGGTTTATCGTATCTGATAATTTCTTTCCATGAAGTATAGGTGTTCAATTAATTTCGCCAAATTATTGCAGATGTAACCACGATAAAGATTTCGTATATGTATAATATATATATAGAATATAACAGTAAATTTATTAGGTACATGATGTCAATTCGACAACTAGTCTGTATCGACTAGCTAGTAGAATACAATTTATTCCATGAAACGGAAAATCTAAATTCTGTGTTTGTGTCAATGCTTGAATTTCCTTGTACAATCTGCTACATTCTTACGAAGGTCACATACTGCTATTATTGGATTAAAGACATGGCCCACCGAACAAGAACAAACTTCTTGGAATCCATTATCACATGCATAATACAACACACAGTTCGTGTCATGAGGCAGTTTGATTTTACCAAATTGCGGACATACAACTTTCTCCCTGGGAGACGTGGATATTATTGGAGGCACAGTAGTTGGCGG